ATCTAAAATTATTTATTTGATAGGTACACAATATAATTGTGTAAACTTTATTTTAAAATAGTGCATTATGTGAAAATAATAGTACAAAATAATGAGTACACATGTTTATGTAGAAAATATATAATATTATTAATTTAATGGTAACATATAATGGTGTAAATTTTATTTTCAAAAATTGTAGAGCTAATTTAGTTACCTGTGAGCATTCTTTGTTGGTGAAATTATGATTATTTAAATATATATATATATATATATCTATTATATAAATGGGGAAAATAAGAAAAAAGGAAAAAAAGAAGGGAAGGAAGCATACATACCATGGTACATACGTATACCCACACATGTGCGGGAGAAGGAGGAGAGGTGGGACCCTATAGTACTTGGTTTGTTTTAAAATCAATTTCATCTAACGGTGTGTAATATAGGACCCACCAATTTAAGTGTAAAATCAAGGGGTAGATGTTTTTCTTTTTTCTTAGAATTTTTATGATTTTCTCTAATATATCAGAGCGCCACATGATGGTTTGAGAGTGTTTATAGAAAGTTTAATGGACTTTTAGTATATAATAGATAGATAGATTATATAATGTATATTATTCATTTATTTAGATATTTTATGAATATTTCGATGACGTGCGTATAGTACAATACAACTCAAAATAACTTATATTTGTACAACTATGGGTTGAAATTATTAACGTGGTTTTTATCTCATGTGAGTGAAAAAAAAGAAAAAGACAAGAAAAGTGGGGACGTGAGGCCCTACATGCAAGTACATACTCCGAACCATATGGGCTGGAATATGAATTTTGTTTTTTCTCATGTGTTAGTGAAAAAGAAAAAAGAAAAGGGGGAGTAGGGCCCACGTACAAAATATGTAACGTACATGCACGTACACGTACAGGGCATGTGTGGATTTTTAAAGATAATAATAAATCTAATTGATATTTTTTTATGCTATATCTAACGTTTAAAAATAGTGGGTCCACCAGATTAAATGAAAACCAACGGCTAGATGCTTTGCTTAATTCTTCTAATTTATTAGAGTGCCACGTGGCGGCGTAGGAGCGTTTGTAGGGGGGCACGTGGCGGTTTAGGAGCGTTTGTAGGAAGTTTAATGGACTTTTAGTATATAATTAGATTAGATAGATTTGTGAAATATGTAAAACTATATGTGTACATATTTAACAATGAATCAAATGATATGAAAAGAATAAATAATTACTTATATTTTTTTAATAAGACAAATGGTCAAACTCGTACTTAAAAAGTCAACGGTGCTTCATTTCCTTCTTCCTCCAATGCTGCTCATCACCTAGAGCAATTAATCTGCGTTGGATATATGTGTTTGATAGTTTCTCACCTCTTCTTCAGTTCATGTCCTAATTAATTGGATCTACTACTATGGATAAGCATGGAAGGCATTGGGAAGCTTATAGATGCAGAATTGCAGATCAGACAGTTGCAGCAACACAAATACACAATGTACAGATCGAACATATAAAGCCCATGAGATCCCTCCAGAAAATCCATACAAGTAATCAGGGATAGCTTAGGGAGAAGCTTAGCAAACATAGTCACCATGATTAATTACCTGCAACCCTTGGCTGTGCACATCCCATTTGGATGTTGAGGCCGGTTGAATCCATTATTAAAAAAAAATGATTACCTGCAGCCCTATCAATTTTTTTGTACTCTCATAGCCATGGATTAGACGGTCTTTAAGAATTTGGACCTGCACTCGGGTTGGCTGGTACTAATATACTCCTATATGAATTTGTAACAAAAAAAATGTACTGAACTCGCTGTAATTGGACAAGGCAGCTCATCCTATTTTCTGGTTTGGTTTGGTTTCTCAGCTTATGTGGGAGTAATAACATGAAGTGTTTTTTTTCCGTCTGAGTTTTAAAATCTCAAACACCTGATTCAATAACTTGCTAGGTACATTAACATTGCAGAAATACCATGGTGCTTGATTTCATCATTCCCTTTTTTTTTTTCACAAGTCAGCTGTTCTACTTGAATGAGGCAATTCAGTTCATCTGTCAGTACGTGGTAGATTCCATAACTCGTGTGGTGTACAATTCAATTCAACTGGCAATGTCCAATTCACCCACCTTATATATGTTTTGAGTCTCTGAATTCTTCTCCCAGTATATATCCAAGTGTATTTCCTGAAGATCATAAAAGAAATCATTACAGTATTGCTTCATTTGCTGCTCACTCTGCTGATCACTGAGAGCACTATGCTTGATGCATTTGATGATCAAATCATATATCTACCTTGTCACCTTTTCTCCAACTCATGTCCTATATATATATGGCCAACTTTGAATAGGCATGGAAGCCATCGGGAATATTATGAGAACATAATCTTCAGATGTTGCAACCAAATATGCAGATCAAAGCACATAAAGCACAAGAGACCCGTCCAGAAATCCATCCTCACGAACAAAAACAGAATATGAAGCTGAAGCTTCACTCCCATAAGCTTAATTTTGTTCCGCAATATGGAGATTCGGTATACTGGACATGCTGCTTTTTCTGTCACAATGATCACCACATTGTCCGACAAACATCTACAGTATACTGAAGTTCTAGCTCTCTGTAGACATGGAAGACACCCGGAACTTGTGAATAACAGCGCATCACATGCTCTCAACTTGATGAAGACAACTCGGTTGAGTATCATCCCTTTGCCTCCTGTTTAATTCCTAGTTGAGTGCTTGGCATGTCTTGGTGAGTGATGTTGCCAATTAGTATCAGACCATCAGACCTAGTTAAGTAACTACTGCCTGTCTTTTGCGTCTCTTGTCTGATAATCGGTGTAGCACATGTTTGGTGCCCTGTTATTTTCTTCTCTCTCTCTCTCTCTCTCTCTCTCTCTCTTTTGTTTTTGGCTTTTTTCAGTCGGGTTCAGTAATGTACGCTGGTAGCAAAGATGCAAGTTTGAAACAAAACGTCGGTTAGAACTGCTTTCATTTCTTTAATGAAATGGGAAAGGATCACCTCTCTTTCTCCAAAAAACAAAAAGAAAGAAAAGTTGAGTAACACTGTAACAGTACTTCCTTCCAAGAGAAATGTGGAGCAGATGATAGCTTTTTATGAGTTTGTTGTTGAGCGCACTGGCATGCCGTGCATAGTTGTTCCAAGCAGGTAAAAGTCGATTTTGCGTACAATTTACTCAATCATTCTATTGTCTTGTGCCTTTAACTTTTTTGGTGATTGTACTGTCTTACCTGTGTCTTTCCCTCATTCCCTCCAGCCTAACAGCCAGAGTTTTTTAAAAAAAAAACAAAGGCAGAAGTTCTGTCTCATTTCATTGATAAAGAAGAGATATACATCCATCTAAGAAAAGTTCTCACTGAAAGCACCATCCTACAAGCACCTCAAGATCATTCCCCAAAGCTACACTAAACACCTGAAAACAGCAAAACAGCCAGAGCTGAATTTCACTCTGCAAAGGCCGTCATGGTCTCATGGATGGGATGGATTGGGTGGCACATACATGGCCATACCAAAACTGTTGAGCAAGAAGCTGGTCTTGACAACTTCAACACTGAATTGGAGTTGCCTGGTACTAGTATGAATTTCACCTTCCTCTTCTTTTTCTTTTACAATGCTAATAAATACTTGAACGAGGCAATTCACTTCATCTGATAGTGGTAGAACCACAATTCAATATTCAATTGGCATCATCCAATTCTCCCACATTATGTTGTTATAGACCGAGTATTATCTTACCTACCTATCAGAAAGATATATGAATGTGATAGTTTGATGAGGATATATATGTGTGTTATGAACCCTTTATCCCAAATTCCCAATATACTATATATATATAAGATATACAAACACTGACATAGTAAGTAGTGTGTTTCATTTCCTCCTTCCTCCAATGCTACTGATCACCTAGAGCAATTAATATGCCCAATATATATATGCACCTGATAGTGTACATAATTTGTCACCTCTTATTACGTACTCTCTCCGTTTTTTAATAGATGACGTCATTGACTTTTTCTCACATGTTTGACCATTCGTCTTATTCAAAAAATTTACGTAATTATAATTTATTTTGTTGAGTTGTTTTATCACTCATGATACTTTAAGTGTGATTTATATATCTTATATATTTGCATAAAATTTTTAAATAAGACGAATGGTCAAACATGTGAGAAAAAGTCAACGGCGTCATCTATTAAAAAACGGAGGTAGTATGTAGGAGTACTAATCAATCGGCATGAAAGACATCGGGAAACGTATCGGCGCGACTCTCAGGTCTGATGCAACAGAATATGCAGATTGCAACATATAAAGCCTGTTAGATCCCTCAACAAACTCCCTATATACTTGCTTGGAGAAATGCAATGCAAGTTAAGATGAAGCTTTCACCACACCATGACCTTCATGTGTTACTCTCTCTCAAAGAAGGACAAATTAAGGGATATGTAGGGAGTGTTTGTAGGATATGGCCTGCCTGCATTAGTCGAGTTGTGTCACTCATGAAGAGTGTCCTACTCCTACCTAGCTGTTGATCTTAATTTTAAGCTAGTTAAAGAGGAACATCACTGTTGATAGCTACTACTATAAATTAAGAATCAATCTGGAGTAATTAATTATTACTCGTACCATCACCATTAACAGTAAGCCTTGCTCCACTTCCGGTGCTAGCAACAGCGACACCCTCGGACGCCGTTTACCTTTTTGAAGGCGTTGCTATTGGAGCCCTCGTTCAGCGCCACTTCAAGGGGATTCTCCGAGTGAAAACCTTAAATTCGTTAGGATTAGACGATGTCGCTGTTCTGTCGGTGTACCCTTCTGGAAGGCTTCGTTTTAGGAGTTTTTTCCCTTGTTGGACTGTTGTTCTTATCAATGTCGGAGTTTTCACCGGTTTTTCATTAATTAACCGTGTTGTTATAAGGTTTTTGATTTTGGTTTTTCTTATTAACTGGATCAACTCTCTTTCTCTACATTGAATTGCAGGAACTCACTGTCTATCCCCTCGAAAAATAATCACCATTAACATATACAAATCATTAATCATATATAGGAGTATTACTTAGGTAATTAACATTAACATGAGTGTAAATTTACTGCTCCCGCATACTAGCTTAATTAATTAGGATTTATAACCGAGTAATTAACTAATTATTATCTCAAATATACATGGCCGCGGCGGAGAGAAGGAGCAACACGGCGGCGGCGGCGCAAGATCCGGCCGGCGAGCCGGTTCTCGTCGGCGCGGAGCCGAAGTACAATGGGCCGTTGTAGCCGTACGTCCCTGGGCCGCCGCCGTAGCCGCCGTACGGGCCGAAGCCGCCGGCGCCGAGGCCCGCCGCCGTGCCGTAGCCGCTGGAGCCGGGGAAGAAGGCCTGGTTGCCGCCGAGGCCGCCGTTGGTGAAGGCGCCCTCCACGGGGTTCCCGTCGGGGATCGGCACCGGCAGCGCCGACGCCACCTCCGCCGCCGGCACGTACTCCTCGTGCGGCCCTGCTCCTTCCACTGGTATCTTCTTGGAAGTCGTATCGGCAGCTGCCACGTTCGACGCCGCCGTCGAGGTCGTCGGAGCTGGCACGACACCTGCAAGTGAAGCTCTCGATTTACTGCGTGTTACTGATCATGATCGATCGAGATTAATTAGGCAGTTGATGAGGGAGACTGGCCTTCGCCGGCGCCTGCCGCCGCCGTAGGCTGAGGCTGCTGCTGGACCGCCGGCGTCGTGGCAGTGGTGGTGCCGGCGGCGGTGGAGGACATGATGAGCGGCAGCGCGCAGCACAGCCACAACGCGAGGAGCTTACTACTGCGAGTGGCGGAGGCGGCCATGGTGATCGATCGATCGATCGAGCTGTGCCTGTGAGTCACTCACCGATCGACGGATCGATCGATGAATGTGCGTGCGTGCGTATATATATAAGGAAATGGGATGGATAAAGTGAGATGGTAGATGGGCTGCTGCATCTAACAAATGGTAGCTTGATCGATCGATGGTAGATGGAGGAGCAAGTGGTCAATGTGAAGCTCACCGGCCGGACGGAGCTAGGAGGAGGAGAGTCCGAATGGTAGCTTTGCCTTTTGCGCTTTTTCAGGTGAGAAGAATTTTGTTATAACTGGGCTTGCTCTATCTGATGGGCCCATCGACCTACCTTCTTTGGGCTGTCAACTCTCTCTCATCCTCTTTCATACATGGGCCGGCCGGGTCAATGTACTGATGACTTAATTAATTAATTAAGGAATGCAAACTAATATTTCCAAATTATATCTCAATTTTGAAATCCATTCGATTTTATTCATCGAAATTCATAACTCCAAGTAACCATATATGTAGTCACCCAAATTAAGCCTGATGATGATTGATCTCTCGCCACCAAGGCCACACGACACGATAGAACACCGTACGTCGTCGTCCTCCTCGCCGGCGACCAGCCGTGTCACCCATCCTTCTCTCGATCGATCGATCGCCATGACAACAATGGCGTCGAGGCTCGTGCGGGCCGCCCACGGCGCGTCCCGCGTCGCACGCTTAGCTGCTGCGGCGGCGGCGGCGCGCCGTGACGACGAGGGGGCATCATCTCGCGCCGCCAGCTTAGCCGCGTCTCGTGTCGCCCGCTCAGCGCGCGCGGCCGCTGCCTCCGCCGCCGCGTCTCGACGCCGCCGCATCGCCGACCTCTCCAAGCCCCCTGACAACTCTCATCGCCTCTCTTTCCGCTACAGCACCGAGCCCCCAGGTAAACCTACCTAATCCCACCCTAATTAAGGACCTATTTATTTCAACTTAAGATTATTATAACCTAGATTATTAAATCAGATTACTCTAGGCTGGATTATAATAAGCTGACACAAAATAATCGTAAAATAATCTACGAGTTGTTTGTTTCTCTGGATTATTAAAGGCATCTAAGGGTAGTGGGTCTTTAGCCACTTAATAATCTGGAAAAAGCTCCTCTAGAGGAGATTATTGGATTATAGTAATCTGGTTTATAGATTATAATAACCTAGCATAATAATCTACTTGTTTGTTTCAGCTTACTTCTAATAATTTAGATTATAATAATCCTAAGCTGAATCAAAAAGGGCCTAATTTGCTTCAAAACAAACTATATATAGTCTTTTTTTTTTTCATTCAATTGATTTGTATTAAATTCATTTACATTTACATAAACAAACTATATATCTATGGTCTAGTATTATTAAGTAAATTCATTCAGTTGTTGCATGAAAAAAAAAAGTACGATCGAATAGCATGTAACAATTGAATGAATTTAATTGCATGCTAGTATTTGATAGTACAATTCGCTGTTTTAATTATTGACCACTTTTTAGATGTAATGTAATGCAATGTTTGCAAAAATATATTGATTTGTTTGCGATATATAGATGATGGAAAGTGCGTGACAAAAGAGGACCTTGAGTCGGACGAAGCCGTGTGGGCCTTATTTGAGCGCTATTGCAAGTCATACAAGAGGAAGTATGATGATGCTGAGATGGTTCGCCGCTTCCATATATTCAAATTCAATGCAAAGACTACATATTGCTGGAACAATTATCTTTATAAAGACGTAAAGGAATTAGCTCGCGCCAAAAGGGATAGGGATTTAGGACTACCTGTCGACTCTTGGTACCTACAAAAAGAGTTAGGCCAATTCGACGATGGGGGTGACCCACTTACCCAAAATCGGCGCTACTACTTTTGAAGGAAAAACATATATATATATATATATATATATATATATATATATATATATATACTCCTCCCACGAAAAACAAAACTAGGATTGAATGTGACTTATTCTAATACAATAAATCTGGACAGATATATGTTTAGATTCGTAGCATTACAATGTGTAACACTGCTAGATTGATTTTTTATGGGAGATAGGGAGTATATGCCGCTGCTGTGTCCGTCCTACATCACTCAACATGTTACTGGTGCACTCCGTCAGTCATTAGTCCGACCGGCAATGGCATCGAAATAATTCAGATTAACTTCGATCACAGCTGACGGATTTATATATATATATAGATAAGATGAGCTGGATCATCAGTTTGTCAACTGATGGTGTGGAATTTGTACAACTATATAAGATATCGATCTAGTTTCCACACGCAACCAGTACAAGCATTACACAATAATATTGTTTAACAGCTAGCTAGTCAATCCATTGATTCATGCATCAATCTATATATTCTTGACTACAATTAACACTCCTATAAATTAACCATTAAGGACTTATATCTTTTTAAATTGTACGTATATATATTATTTTTAAGATCCGTTTGAACCATTGTATTCTATAACAAACTTATTATTCGAGTAAAATACTTTTAAATGTTTGAATAAATTTAATATTAAACTCATTTCATCATATACTTTAAGTACAGTACAATGGTTCAAACAGATTTTAAAAAATAATGCACATAGTTTTAAAAAATATAAATCATCGAGTAATGTTCCATATATTCTAAAAAAGAATAATGTTCCATAAAAAAATTAATACTATCTTCGTCCCGAAAAGAGTAGTTTTGCACCGTTAATGTTCAACTTGACCGTCCGTCTTATTTGAAAAAATTTTATGATTAATTTTTTTTGTTATTAAATAATAAAATACAAATAGTATTTTATGTGTGACTAATCTTTTTTATTTTTTTTGGTAAATTTTTTAAATAAGACGGACGGTCAAACGTTGGACGCGGAAACCCACGACTACAATTAAATTGGGACAAAGAAAGAACTACACCCTACGTCCCATAAAAAAAAATCTAAGACAGCATGCGACATATTCTAGTATGATGATCTGGATATATGTATGTCCAGATTTATAGTACTATGATGTGTCAAATTCAATAGTAGATTAGTTTTTTTGACGGAGGGTGCAGTGAATTATAATATGTGTTGGCTCCAACACATGAATAGGCATTCTCTTTTCACAGCAGCAGATCAGCATCTCCGCAAGACTGATTGGTAGGGGTGAAAACGGATCAGATAATATCCGATCCGATATGGTATGGGCTGCGGATGCGGATAGTATGATGTGGATGCGGATATGATATCTCTAAAATCCGGCGGATGCGGATTATCCGACATTTTTGTCAGATTATCCGATAAACCGTTTGCCGGATAATCCGAAATTATCAACATATATAACCACTCTATCTATTGCATATAACATAAGTTGGTACATACAATGCCTTAATTCATCAATTAACATAGATTTTTTTGGTCTAAGGCTTTTACCATCTCATGTCACACTCACATAGCTATATTTTTTATATTATGGACATCATGTATTCATGTTGTAGTACTTAATCATATAATTATTACAATGGGTCATTTATTGATTATTGTATTATTGTTCCTTATATTGCTAACTCGATATTGCATTGATTGTATATACATGTAACATCCGATAAATTTAATCCGTTTCCGAACCGATTCCACAGTGACTCCGCACCATTTCCGACATCCAAAACAATCCGCTCCACATCCATATCCTTATACTATCCACACCCGCACCAAACCCGCTTAAAAAATATAGTTTAGGATATAATATGACTACTGTCCGTCCGAATCCGCTCCGATTTCACCCTTACTGATTGGACGGTCCCGCGCATAAGCATGCGCACGAAGTATAAAAATCATAAACTGTGCTTGCACAGGAAGATGCAACTAACAGTGAAGTGATGGCATCAGCTGGCGGCCTGGCGCTCTGTCTGTGTGCGCCACGTACGTTATCGTCGACCGATCGATCACTTCTGACCCATTCAAGCTCAAGCCGGCAGGTTAGATCTATATTTTCCAGCCAGATTTCCCAATTTATTTACATGTATGCACTGACACCACAAGTTAACTACTCCCTCTATTCCATATGATGAGTTGTTTTAATTTTTTTCTAATTAAAATTTAAGGCTACATTAAATTTATAAAAAATAACAACAACATTTTTAACCCAAAATAAACATATTGTGAAAATATATTCAATGCTATATTTAATAAAATTAATTTGATATTGCTATAACTTTTTTTTAAACATGGTCAATATAATGAAATTTGATTAGGAAAAATGCCAAAGTACCTCATAATATAAAACGGAGGGAGTACCTATAAATTTCACACGCAATATCTATCACACGTGTCAGTGATGCATCTCATGTCTTCTATAAATTTAAACACAAATTGTAGTACTTGCAAAGGCATTGACTGTACTACAGCATCAATCAAATTCAAGCTAGTCACAACAATAATGGAGCCCTCCATCTCGCGTCGACGACGTATCGACATCGCTCTCGTGTCGCTGCTGCTGCTCGCCGCCGCCGCCGCCGCCGTCGACGCGGCGACCATCACCATGGTGAACCGCTGCTCGTACACGGTGTGGCCGGGCGCGCTCCCGGGCGGCGGCGCCCGGCTCGACCCGGGGCAGTCGTGGTCGATCAGCGTCGCCGCCGGCACACCGGCCGCCAGGATCTGGCCGCGCACCGGCTGCTCCTTCGACGGCGCCGGCCGCGGCCGCTGCGCCACGGGCGACTGCGCCGGCGCGCTGTCCTGCGCCGTCTCCGGCGAGCCGCCCACCACGCTGGCCGAGTACACGCTCGGCCGCCCCGGCGCCGGCGGCGACGACTTCCTCGACCTGTCGCTCATCGACGGGTTCAACGTGCCGGTGAGCTTCCAGCCGGCGAACGGCGGTGGCGCCCGGTGCAGCAAGGGGCGCGGGCCGAGCTGCGCCGTGGACATCACGGCGAGGTGCCTCCCCGAGCTCCGTGTCCCCGGCGGCTGCGCCAGCGCGTGCGGCAAGTTCGGCGGCGACACCTACTGCTGCCGGGGACGGTTCGAGCACGTGTGCCCGCCGACGAGCTACTCCATGTTCTTCAAGGGGCTCTGCCCCGACGCCTACAGCTACGCCAAGGACGACCAGACCAGCACCTTCACCTGCCCCGCTGGCACCAACTACCGCGTCGACTTCTGCCCGCCGACGAGCGGCGTGACGGCCGGTGACGAGGACGACGAGATCGCCTCTGCTTAATTAATTAATTAAGCTTATCGGCTTAATTAATTTCGTGTGCCTTGATCGATCACTACTAGTACAATAATTGACATGGCAACGCATGCACTCGATGATCTCTCTTCGATAATTTGGATGAATAAAATTCCATCGAATTCCCTTTTACTCCTTGGTTTTTCCGGAGCTAGCTTGATTGATAGTAGTATATATATAATCTTTGCCAGTAAAAATATGATTGTCTCAGCATGATTAATAGTACCAATTATCTGGGCATGATTAGGGAGCTCGCTATCCCGAAAATTTCGGAACGGGATATGTTGCCAGTACGATGTGGAGTGGGCCAATATGAGGCCCAATTGCATTTGTGCGATCTAGTAGCAGGCCCACAGGTATCATCTGTGTGGGTGGGCCAATATGAGGCCCAATTGCATTTGTGCGGCCTAGTATGAGGCCCACAGGTATCAGCTGTGTGGGTAGGGCCAAAATTCGGCTCATATCTCTAGAGGTGGGCCGGGGTCATTGAGCAAGATGACTACTCCCCTGTTTCATATCGATTTTGCTATATATTTGTCGACAAATTTTTCCCCCAAAATTTGACAGATGTAATTACAGTACAATCGTAGTGTAATTACACTGTAACTTGCATGTAATTACACTGTAACTATAGTGTAACTTGTATGTAACTTTCAAAAATCTCTCCGTAACATGTTATTTCGGTAAAATGGAGGTCGTGGGAACAAATTCTTTCACATATGTGTGTGCTGTGATTTGTTTTCTTTCTCACCAAAACAAATCTTGTAATAGATCTAACGATTCAAAATTATGTGAAACTTACATATAAGTTACACTGTAGTTACATGCAAGTTACAGTGATTACATATAAGTTACAGTGTAATTACACTACGATTGTACTATAATTACATCTGTCAAATTTTTGGGAGAAAATTTGTCGACAAAATTTGTCGACAAATGTATAGGTAGTCTCTTTCATATTACAAGTCGTTTTTATTTTTTCTTAGTTAAAATTTATTACGTTTGACTAAATTTATAGAAAAAATATAATACCATTTTTAACACAAAACAAACATATTATTAAAATATATTCAATGCTATATTTGAAACTATTTTGGTGTTTTAAATATTGCTAATTTTTGCTATAAACTAAGTTAAACTTGATAAAGTTTGACTAGAAAAAACTCAAAGCGACTTATAATATAAAACAGATGGAGTAATAAATATAATGTAAAAGCCACCTCCTATCTAGAATTGTATTACTACTTATATATCCTAACTGATACAAGTTAGACGATGTAACATGGGTTGGATTGACTATATGTCTAGCTATCTTTGATTGTTTGTCTACTTTTTTTTTTAAAAAAAAACTCAATCTTAATGATTAATCTTTTTCTAATACACATTGCAAAACATAGGGACTTACCACGTGCGCACACTTACATATATAAATACACACCTTATTTTTTTAATTATGAGCCATTCAGGGACAGATCTACAGTGTAACGGCCGGTATCAGACAGCACCGACAACTTTTGGCAAAATCTATAGTTAAACTGCTTATTCATATATTATAACACCATGATCTAATCATAATTAGCATACTATGACACCAGTAGATACGTTATGACACCAACGAATTAATTTTTTGGATCCGCCACCACTGGTGGAGAAACCCTTTGTAGTCCCGGTTCGTAACCCCCCTTTAGTCCCGGTTTCCAAACCGGGAGTACCAATCCGGGACTAAAGATCGCTATCTTTAGTCCCGGGTGAAATAACCGGGAGTAAAGATCGATCTTTAGTCCCGGTTGGTAACACCAACCGGGACTAAAGATCGAGCTGACCTTTTTTTTTTTTGCATGGCCCTGTTGCTGCATGGTTTATATATATATATATATATATATATATATATATATATATATATATATATATATATATATATTATATTATATTATATTATATTATATGTATATACATGCATAATATATATGTATTTATACATATATATGTTATGCAAATGCATATGTATATAGATATATATATGACCAAAATATATTTACATTATAGAAAATGTGTACACATGCATATAGAAACATATGTAGTCATGTATTAATTACAATCCATTATATGTCCTAGCTAGCTACGATTTCGACGTAGTAGTACTCGCTGCTAGCTCAGAAGCTAAGGACCGGTGAATTGTGTTTCTGTCGTAGTAGAATTCACCCTTGGGATCAAGGATTTCTTCGTTGATGAATCCCATGAGTTGTTCTTGAACCGCCGTGATAAATTCCTTGTGTGTGGTCAGGTTATCCCTCATGCGAATAAACTATATGAATGTATCAAATTGATTAGTAATTAAACAAGAAATCGCTACGTAATGAAATTTTGAATTTATTTGTACGTACATCGAGCTCTCTTGTGGTGATGATTTGGTTTGCAAGGCAGTGGCAATACTCGCACACGTAATAGCCGCACAAGTTAGTTCCCTGCTTTTGCTTTGCGCACTACAAATAAATGACAAACAACGAGAGATCTAATTAATATACACTTGTATGTATTTGAATCGGAGAAATATAAATGTAGAGCATGTGTACTCACAGGAAATTTGAACTTCCGCCTAAGTCTTTCTCTCCATTTGCCGCGGACCAAATGACGGAACCGATACCAAGCCCTACATGGAGTTTAAAGCTATGATTCGTAGTAGCAATTAACATAACAAGATTTTCTTAATTAACAAAGGAACTTATGACGGTACCTGTCTATAAGTTCGAAAACCTTGTCAAACGTAGACTCTTTTTTATCCATTGAGTCATATACGTTGATGGTGCAAGCCTCCAGGTCGAAGAGTAAAAGCACCCAGTGGAATCTGCAATGTGCGTGGGATGCATTACATATGAAACACTTAGCAAGTTCGTACGGGAATGAAATTTGGTATGTAGGAAGACAGTAAAATTAAACTAACTCTGTGTTGTATGGCAACAGTATGAACGTCTTGTAATGCTGCACCTTCAGGAGATGGACGAGATTGTCCTCTGTTTCGTGTGGATATTGGTCGAGCATTGCGACGTTTACTTTCCGAGGGTCGATGAATCCAGTATCGAAAACCCTCCGCCGTCGGGCCCTTTGAATCTCCATTCTACAACGATAAAAGGGAGTATATTATTTTCTATAGTCTACTTATATACAAGGACCTAATTAATTAAAGGAGACGTATAGTAAGAAATCTAACTGAACGATATACTTACAAAATCCAGCAACTCATAATAGAGACGTCGAGGGCGTCCAGCTGGTATAGTTTGTAGATTCCCCTGAAATTGATCCAGAGAATGTCATCTCCTTGCAAGAAGTCCGTGTCCCTGATCCTCGCTCCGATCATCTCTCTACCGGTGGCGCTCATCTCCATGTACAGCTGATGGAACTTGTACATTTGTGTGGGTAGGGACTGCAGCAGCTCAGGCTTGACAAGCGGTTTACCGAGTTCGTACATGTATTTCACTTCCGCCTTTTCGATTGGTGCGACTCCTAGCAATTGATCCGTAGTTAGACCGGTGTCAGTAATAAATTGTTCTATCGTCATTTCTTTACCGGCCACCAACGGCTCGATCTCCTGGTTTGGTTGCTCTCCAAGCTGAGGGACTGGTTTGGACTTTCCAGAAGATGCTTTCTTCAGCGTTCGCTCATAGTCCGATAGCTTAATGGCCTCCTTGGCATGTGCAGACATACCCCTGAAGAAGTTCCTGACACTGGGGTCTATAGGAATCTTCTTTTCTGGACTTCGAGGCTTGAATTGTCTCTTGACTTCTGATGCAACGTAAGCGTCAAGCTCCTCTTGCGTGCAATCGTACCCCGGGTCCTTGTTCTTGGCGGCGTCAACTTTCGCCTTCTTCGTTGCCCTTGTGTGGGCAGGCGGTGGAGCTGGGGGGGCCCTTGACTTTGAAGGTGCCGGAAGAGGAGCTTGCGGGGGAGTAGGTGTAAGAGCACGAGGAGGAGTCGGTGCAGGATCCTCAGGAGGAGTCGATGCTGGAGCCTGAGGTGGAGACGGTGCTGGCGGAGCATGAGGAGGAGACGGTGCAGGATCCTGAGGAGGAGATGGCGGAGCCGGAGGAGATGGTGCACGAGACGCCGCTTGTCGCCCAGGGAGGATGATGTACCGCCTGCGCCATAGAATAATGGCATGGCTTGTGTCTCGTAGATGCGTCTCACCGTCTCCTCCAGGGTAATCCAGCTCGAGGTCCTCGTACGCGCCTTCGACCAACTCAACTTCGACCTTCGAGTATCCTGCTGGAATCGGCCTGCAGTGGTAAATACCTGAAGGGTCCGTTGGGATGGCCATGCCCGACGCCACCTTCATGTTGTGAGAGATTATTTATTAGTAATCAACATATATAAGCAGCAACTAGCGGAATGGCTAAATCTTACCTTTATTGATAAGTTCTTGAAAGGAATATGCAGCTCACATGGTGTCCGCTGAGTGATGTCATCAACGGGACAGGTCGATTCGTCCTGTGTTTGCATGGCGTCCATGCTCTGTGATCCTACCTGCCCCGTTGAGGCGCAGCTGCTACGGTTTCCTGACGGGCTCACCATTGTAGGAGGAATGGTCGGCTGGGGATCATGGGACCGATGTGCGGCCATGCGTTCATCAACCTTCCTTGCCACCTCCTCTTGCATGTTGAGTTCGTAGCTCGATACCCGAAACTCTAGGTCTGCAATCTTCGCCTCGGTATCTCTCTTGCTCCTCATCCGACTCCTATACGTGTGGATGTCCTCCTTGAAATCAATCTTCCAAGGAATCACCCCTTTCCCTCGTGTTCGTCCTGGATGCTCTGGAGTCTGCAGGGCGAGTGTCAGCTCGTCCCTATCTTTGTCTGCTCGGAACGTGCCCTGAGAGGAGGCTTCCACTGCATCTGTTAGTCATCACGCAGCCTCTCATATCTGATCGCCGAAGACCAGTGAGCCATCAGCTGGGTTGAGCGTTCCACCGTGAGCATAGTACCAGAACTTCGATCGTTTCGGCCAATTGGCTGTTGCCGGTTCGATACCCCTCTCAATCAAGCTAGCCTCCATCTGCTCCCACTTCGGCATCGCGACGCTATAGCCTCCTGACCCCAAGTGGTGATGGTACTTCTTCTTGACGGCATTTTCTTTGTTTC